CAACCTGTTGGAAGCTCACATCTAGTGGGTCATCAGGGCCGGCACGGTCATGTGCTGCAGGATGTGGCGGGTGGTGCCGCCCATCACCAGCTCGCGCAGGCGGGCGTGGCCGTAGCAGCCCATCACCAGCAGGTCGGCGCCCTCGTCGGACAGGCGCGAGAGGATGGCGTCGTCGATGCTGATGTCACTGACCTTGATCGACTCCGCCTCGGCCTTGACGCCGTGGCGGGCCAGCACCAGGGCGATGTCAGCGCCCGGCTCGTCGCCGTGGGCGGCGCGGCTCTTCTTCGGATTGACGGTCAGCACGGTGACCTTGTCGGCCGCCGACAGCAGCGGCAGCGCGTCGCTCGCCGCGCGCGCCGCCTCGCGGCTGGCGTCCCAGGCCAGCAGGACGTTGCGGCCGAAGCCGGCGGGCGCGCCGATGTAGGGCACCAGCAGGACCGGCCGGCCGGCGCCCAGCAGGCACTGCTCGACCGTGCCCTCGCCCAGGCTGTTCTCGTCGTCGGGGTCGTGCTGGCCGAGCACCACCAGGTCGGCGTAGCGGGCGTGCAGCGCCAGGGTCTCGGGCACCTCCTCGACGTAGGCCGTGGCGCGGCGGCTCTCGACGCTGCGCCCGGCGCGCGCGGCCGCCTTTTCGAAGGCGGCGACCGCCTCGTCGGCCTTGGCGCGCATGGCCTCGCGCTGGGACTCCAGGGTGGAGGCGGGAATCTGCGCCATCACGAAGGTCGGGACCACCGGCTCCATCATGACGAAGAGGCCGACCAGGTGCGCGTCGCTGCGCGCCGCCAGGTCGAGCGCGACGGCCACCCGGTCGGCGCAGGCCTTGCTGTTGTCGAGATGGACCAGAATCGTCTTGTAGCTCATGGGCGTTTCGCTCCTTCCCCTCTGCGGCGCCTGGGGCCCGGCTGCCGGTCCTTCCAAAATCGGATAGGAAGAAAACCTTGCCTCAAGCGCATCCGAAATGACGCAGGTCAACCGCCCGTCCCCCATCGGGCGGGCGGCAGCCATGCACGGGGCCGGATGTCGGTCCCGATATCGCTCCCGGCGCCAGCCCCGTCAGGCCGGCTGTTCCCTCGTTTCCCCCTGCTGGTCCATCGCCGCCTGCGCGGCCTCGTCCAGCGCTGCCGCGCGGCGGAACGCCGGCCGCGCGGCCAACCGGTCGAGATAGTCGGTGAAGACCGGCCGCGGCGCGATCACCTCGATATGCTGGCCGAAGACGAGCTGGGCGCCGGCGCAGAGGTCCGCCGTGGTGAAGTCCGTGCCGGCGAGGTAGGGCGCGGCGCTCAACTGCCGCTCCAGCGTGTCCAGCACCCGCTCCAGGCTGCCGTAGCCGATCATGCCGCGCACCGCCTCGGGGGGCTCGAAGCCCGCCGCGCGGGCGGTGATGGCCGCGTCGAAGGGGCCGGCGCTGAAGAACAGCCAGCGATAGTAGGCGCCGCGCGCCGGCGGCGGCGGCGCCAGGCCGCGTTCTGGGAAGGCGTCGGCCAGGTAGCTGCAGATCGCCACCGTCTCGGTCACCACGGTGCCGCCGTGGCGGATCGCCGGCAGCTTGCCCATCGGGTTGACGGCCAGGAACTCGGGGGTCTGCAGGGCCGGGCCGTAGGTGAGGTATTCGGCCCGGTAGGGCGCCTCCACCTCCTCCAGCATCCAGCGGACGATGCGCCCGCGCGACTGCGGGTTGGTGTAGAAGACGATCTCCTCGCTCACGCGGCCGACCCTTCCTGCATCGTGGAGCCCGCCAGCAGGCTAGACCGGATCGTGACCGATTGGAAACACTTCGTGCCTACAAACGATTACGTAAATCCAACCTGAATTCAGACGCTTAGGGCGGAGCCGCTGCAAAGCCGCGGGCCTCGCGCGCGGCCGGCATCCCCCGCCCCCCCCCCCGCGGCATCCCCCCGCGGCGTCACCCTGCCGCGTGGCGGGCCTGCCAGCCGTCGGGGTCGTCGAGGAAGGCCTTGACCTCGGCCAGGCCCTGGCCGGAGAGGTAGCCGGCCGCCTCGGCCGCGGCCAGCGCGTCGTACCAGGTGCAGAGCGCGTGCAGGCTGACCCCCTCGGCCTCCAGCCGGGCGATGCCCTCGGGGAAGATGCCGTAGTGGAAGACGACGAAGCTGTGCGCCGCCTCGGCGCCGGCGCCGCGCAGCGCCTCGATGAAGCCCAGCTTGGAGCCGCCGTCGGTCGCCAGGTCCTCGACCAGCAGGGCGCGCGCGCCCTCGGGGAAGGTCCCCTCGATCTGGGCATTGCGCCCGAAGCCCTTGGGCTTCTTGCGCACGTAGACCATCGGCAGGCCCAGGCGCTCGGCGATCCAGGCGGCGAAGGGAATGCCGGCCGTCTCGCCGCCGGCGATCACGTCGAGGGATTCGTAGCCGACCGACGCGGCGATCCGCTCGACCGCCAGATCCATCAGCTTGGCCCGCGCGCGGGGGAAGGAGATGATCTTGCGGCAGTCGACGTAGACCGGGCTCTTGCGCCCCGAGGTGAAGGTGAAGGGCGCGTCCGGCCGGAACAGCACCGCCTCGATCTCCAGCAGGATGTTGGCGGTGGTGCGGGCGGCGTCGGCGGCTGCGCTCATGGGCGGGCTCCCTCGTTCGGTAGCGGGGCGGTCGGTATCGGGGCGGTCCATATCGGGGCGGCGGTCCCGCCACGCCGCGGGTGATAGCCGGGTTTTCCCCGTCGAGGCAACGCCGCCCCTTCACAGCGCGGGTGCCAGGGTCCATCTTGGGCGCAGACGATAACGGCCCGGGGTGTCCCGCGCGGCTGCCGCCGCCACGGGGCTGAGATCACACCCGCCGAACCTGACCTGGATCATGCCAGCGCAGGGAGCCGCCGCGGCCTCCGCCCCGCCTTCGCAACCAGACCCGGCGGCGGACGCGCCCCGCAGACCTCCGGCTCCCGCCCCGCGCTGACGGGAGGTGCCGAGATGCCAGACCCTACCCGCCGCCGCGTCCTGACCTCGGCCGGCCGCCTCGTCCTGGGCACGGCCGGCTTGGGCACGGCCGGCTTGGGCACAGCCAGCTTGGGCACGGCCGGCCTCGCGGCCCCGGCCGTCGCGCGCGAGCGCCGGGTCTGGCGCCTGGCGACCTCCTGGCCGAAGAACGCGCCCGGCCCCGGCACCACCGCCGCCCGCCTGGCCGAGCGGATCACCGCCCTGTCCGGCGGGCGCCTGACGGTCGAGCTGCACGCCGCCGGCGAGTTGGTGCCCGCGCTGGAGGTCTTCGACGCGGTGGCCGCCGGCACGGTCGAGCTGGGCCACTCGGCGGCGCTCTTCTGGTCGGGCAAGATGCCCTCGGCCCCCTACTTCACCGCCGTGCCCTTCGGCCTGCTGCCCGAGGGCCACGACGCCTGGCTGACCGCCGGCGGCGGCCAGGCCCTGTGGGACGAGCTCTACGGCGCCTTCGGGGTCAAGCCCTTCGCCGCCGGCAACTCCGGCATCCAGATGGGCGGCTGGTACCGCAAGCCCATCGCGGGGCTGGAAGACCTCAAGGGTCTGCGGGTGCGCATGCCGGGTCTGGGCGGCGAGGTGCTGCGCCGGCTGGGCGCCGCGCCGACCACCCTGCCGCCCGGCGAGATCTTCACCGCGCTGTCGACCGGCGCGATCGACGGGGCGGAGTTCCTGGGGCCCTGGCAGGACCTCTCGCTCGGCCTGAACCGGGCGGCCCGCTACTACCTCTGGCCCGGCTGGCACGAGCCCAACGGCAGCGCCGAGGCGCTGGTCAACGCCGCCGCCTACGCGGCCCTGCCCGAGGATCTGCAGCGACTGATCGCGACCTGCTGCGAGGCGGAGAACCGGCGCGGCCCGGCCGAGGCCGAGTGGCGCAACGCCGAAGCCCTGGCCCGCCTGCGCGAGGACCCGGAGGTGACCCTGGCCGCCTGGCCCGAGCCGGTGCTGCGCGCCGCCCGCGCGCAAAGCGAGGCGGTGCTGGCCGAGCTGGCCGAGGCCAGCGCCCTCGACCGGCGCCTGCGCGACTCCTACGCCGCGGCCAAGGCGCGCCTGCTGCCCTGGGGCCGTGTCGGCCGCCATGCCCTGCTGGGCGCCCAGCTCGGCGCCTGATCCCGCTTGCCCGCCGGCCGCGCCGCGAAAGGAGGCACTGCCATGACCCTCGCCACCAGCCTGGAGCGTCCCTCGGTCACCCTGAAGGCGCTGCGCGCCCAGACGCCGCTGGTCCAGAACATCATCAACTTCGTCGCCATGGACCTGGCCGCCAACAGCCTGCTGGCCGTCGGCGCCTCGCCGGCCATGGTGCACGCCCCGCAGGAGGCGGCGGAGTTCGCCGGCCTGGCCGGGGCGCTGACCGTTAACCTGGGCACGATGGAGGCGCACTGGGTCGAGTCCGCCGAGGCCGCGGCCAAGGCGGCCGTCGCCGCCGGCCGGCCCTGGGTGCTCGACCCCGTGGCGGTCGGCGCCACCGCCTTTCGGCGCGCCAACGCCACCCGGCTGCTGGCCTGCGGACCGACGGTGGTGCGCGGCAACGCCTCGGAGATCATGACCCTGGCGGGCCTGAGCGGCGCCGAGGGCAAGGGGGTCGACTCCACCGTCGGCTCGGACGCGGCGGTCGAGGCCGCCCGCCGCCTGGCCCGGCAGAGCGGCGCCGTGGTCGCGGTGACCGGCGCCATCGACCGGGTCAGCGACGGCACGCGCGAGGCGAGCTGCGCCAACAGCCACGAGATGATGACCCGCATCACCGCCGGCGGCTGTGCCTTGACGGCGATCACCGGCGCCTGCCTGGCGGTGCAGCCGGACCCGCTGGCCGCCGCCCTGCACGCGCTGGCGATCTACGGCGTCGCGGCCGAGAAGGCGGCGGCGCGGGCGCGCGGGCCGGGCAGCCTGCGCCTGCACCTGCTCGACGAGCTTTACCGCCTCGACCCGGAGGAGCTGGACCTGGAGGCCCGCCTGGCATGAACGCGCGTGCGTCCTTCGACCTCTCGGTCTACCTGGTGGTCGGCCGCGACGACTGCCGCCGCCACGGCCTCGAGGCGGTGATCGACGCCGCCCTGGCCGGCGGCGCGACTCTGGTGCAGCTCCGCGAGAAGCACCTGCCGCCGGCCGACTACCTGGAGCTGGCGCGCGCCCTGTTGCCGCGGCTGGAGGCCGCCGGGGTGCCGCTGGTGGTCAACGACCGGGTCGAGGAGGCGCTGGCGCTCGGCGCCGACGAGGGGCGGGTCGGCGTCCACGTCGGCCAGGGCGACCTGCCGGTGCGCCAGGTGCGCGCGCGCCTGGGCCCCGCGGCCGTGCTCGGCCTGTCGGTGCGCCGGCCGGAGGAGGCCG